AGTCTGGGATGTGAGTGTTCCATATCTGAGCCCCTTCCCTGTCCACTTCAGGGCAGAATTTTTCTTCCTCCCCCACCCCTTATCCCCCTCACACCAAAAGTCATCATCATAGATTCATAGAAAATTAGGGTTGGAAGGGACCTCTGGAGGTCATCTAGTCCAACTCCCTGCTCAAAGCAGGAGCATCCCCAACTAGATCATCCCAGCCAAAGCTTTGTCTAGCCAGGTCTTGAAAACCTCCAAGGATGGAGCTTCCACCACCTCTCTGGGTAACCTGTTCCAGTGTTTTACTACCCTCCTAGTGAGAAAATGCTTCCTAATATTTAACCTAAATTTCCCTTGCTGCAGCTTGAAACTGTTGCTCCTTGTTCCATCATCTGTAAAAGTTTTGGAATTGTAATGCATCTCTGCAAAATATTCTACACCAGAACCCTGTTACAAACAACATGCTGGAGCAACCCAGCTCTCATCCATTGTGGGCCAAAGGGATTCATTAGCATGTCAAGGGCAGGCGGCTTTCCCCATGCCCACACTGGGGCCACACAGCTGGGAGCTGCACCTGTGCGCCTGCCACTTCTCTCAGCTCTCCAGCTGCTGCTCAGGCACCACTTCCAGTTCATGGGGAGCTACGCTGGGGCCAGGTATCTGGAAATTGTGTCAACACTGCCACTGCTTCTCCCCTTTCTCTATCATCCCAACTGTGGCGTGGGCACAGCGCCCAGCACAGGTCTTCTTCACTGCCCAGCCTTGGCATGGTAGGGCAAAGCTCTGTGGGTTGGATCCAGTGGCCCTGTGAGCTAGATGCAGCTCATGGGCTTGTATGTTGTTGAACTCCGTTCTAAAATTAGCAGCACATTTTACTTCATTTCAGCAGAAATATTGTAACCATTGCAACTATAACTGTTGTCAGGGGGCCTCCTAGAGAAGTCACCATAAATCTGGGGTGGGAAGTTATACTTTTTGGCCTGAAGAATCTCTAGGTACTTCCCGTACACTACCCCATCAACCTCTGAGGCTTTCCAGTAACTTTCCAAATCCTTTGTCCTGTGTTCCCCTGCTGCTGCATAGTCTGCCATTAATGTGGGGAGCTGATGTCAAGGTGAGGTCAGAAATTACTTAAATGTTCAGTTTTTTCCTGATCATTTTTAGCTGATTTTCTTTTCAGGTTTCCAGAAACACATTAATACAGTAGTATTTGATTTTCACTGCCTTCTCCACCCTAAAAAAAGGTGCTGCAGGTCTGCATTAGGAGCAACATTGCCAGGACTGCTTGAAACATGGATAGAAAATTTTAAGAGAAAACCTTGGTTTTAGAAAAAGCAGTCAGTAGAGATGATATCTTTTATTAGACTGACAAGATTTTTGCAAAAAAAATTCTTTAATTGCAAGCTTTTGGGCACAAGCACCCTTCACCAAACATTCTTTGCAACAAGTGTCTAGTTCTTGCAGAAAGTATCAGTGTTTTGTTAATGGACCAAACACTTCTTTTGTTGCCAGAAAACAAAAATATTTTGATTCTGGTATGCCATTGTGGTATCTCGTGGGAATTGTTGTATAGGTGCCTTGCATTTTTTTTTTCTACAGTGTGAGTGGCATCACCTTCACTAAGCTAAGCCCCACACCACATTCTCTAGCTATCCTGTAGTCATCGTGCATTGCTAAGAATGTAGTCTGACCCTAGATCCTGGCATACAGAGGAAAGGAGCACTGGTATATATATACATCAGTGCACTTCAGGACTTCTAAAGGCACGGCCTCACTTGCTTGATCCCACCCCACATGTACCAATATTACAAATTAGACCTTGGAGCAGTGGTGGAGGTTGCCCTGAGTAACTTCACTGTTTGATGTCCAGGCTTGGTGCATCTGGACCAAGTGTTACTGGCAGAACATGCTTGAACACTGGGGAAGCAGTATAGGTATCATAATCACGTGAACAGCAACTCCTGAGACACACCTCCGTAGCATTTGAGGACTGAAATGTGGCAATTGTTGTATTTTTAATTTTTTTTCTGAAAAAACCTGCATGACTGATGAGAAAATATTTTTCCTAAAAATAGTAATTTATTTTGGTTGAAATTTTCTTTAGGGAGGGATTTTCAAAGTTAGTCTTAGGTAGAAACAGTGTTTATGCTGCTGGCAGTTTTAGGACTAGTGTGCATTGGCCAACCCAAGGAGAGAAAATTATCATCCCCGGTTGGTAATCACCAGCAACTCTCTTTTATCCCCCACCTCTGCCCTCTTCCAAGTAACTTAAAACCAGTTCCCTTCAGAAAGAACAGTTGGTTTTTTTACAGGTTTAGACTATTTGTTCATTGAAATACCAAAATCCTAGGCGTAGCCTAAGGCTTTGGGACACTTAGTGAAGCTTTTTAAAGGTGTACATATAAGTGCCTCTCATTCATAAAATCATAGAAAATTAGGGTTGGAAGAGACCCTAAGAAGTTATCTGGTCCAGCACTGCTCAAAGCAGGACCATCCCCAGCTATTTCATCCCAGCCGAGACTTTGTCTACCTGGGTCTTAAAAACCTCCAAGGATGGAGACTCCACTTTCTCTCTGGGTAACCTGTTTGAGTGCTTCAATACCTTCCTGGAGAGAGGTTTCGTAATATCTAACCTAAACTACCCTTGCTGCAACTTGAGACCATTGCTTCTTATTGTGACATCTGGGACCTCTGAGAACAGTCCAGCTCCATCCTTGTTGGAACCCCCTTCAGGTAGTTGAAGGTTGCTATTAAATCCCCCATCAGTTTTTGCTTCTTCAGACTAAATAAGCCCAATTCCCTCTGCCTCTCCTCAGAAGTCATGTGCCCCAGCCCCATAACCATTTTTGTTCCCCTCCACTGGACTCTCTCCAATTTGTCCACATCCTTTCTTTAGTGGGGGAGCCCAAAACTGGACACAGTACTCCAGACAGTGGCAACGTGTAGAGAGCGCTGGTTCACCCCTTGGCAGGTTGCACTCCCCACTTAGGCAGCGGGCAGGGAAGTAAGTGGGAGCGCCCTCCCCACAAGCACTGGCTGGAGAGTGGGAGTGCCTCAGCTACTTCTGGGAGCACCATGGCCGCTTCCCGGTTAGCGAGATAGGCCGCGGGGACCCCCCTCCCTGCCCCGGTTGGTGAGCTTGGCCATGGGGGGATGTCCCCCTGGTCAGCAAGATTGGCATGTGCTCCCCCTGACTAAGGTGGCACCAGTCACCCATGACTCCACATGTGGCCTCTCCAGTGCTGAATAGAGGGGAATAGTCAATTCCCTCATTCTGCTGGCAACACTCCTATTAATGCAGCCCAGTATGCCATTAGCTTTCTTCACAAGGACTTGTTGGTTCATATTCAGCTTATTGTCTACTGTAACCCTCAGGTCCTTTTCTGCAGAGCTGCTGCCCAGGCAGTCAGTCCCCAGCCTGTACGGATTCCAAGTCATTGATGAAGATACTAAACAAACCCGCCCCCTGGGGCACTCCACTTGATACCAGTTGACAACTAGACCTCAAGCCATTGATCACTACCTGTTGAACCCAACAATCCAGCTAGCTCTCTATCCACCTTACAGTCCATTCTTCCAACCCATGCTTCCTCAGTTTGCTTGCAAGAGTGCTGTGGGCGACCATATCAAAAGCTTTGCTAAAGTCAAGGTATATCATGTCCATTGCTCTCCTTGTATCCACAGAGCCAGTCATCTCATCATAGAAGGCAGTCAGATTGGTCAGGCATGACTTGCCCCTGGTGAATCCATGCTGACTGTCCCTAATCACCTTCTTCTCCTCCAAGTGCTGGGAAATGGATTCCTTGAGGACCTGCTTCATAATTTTTCCGTGACGTGAGGCTGACCAACAAGTTTTCAAAAATAAGGGCTAGTGGCTCTATAGTCACATCAGTGAACTCCCTCATCGCCCTCAGATGCATCATGTCCAACCCCATGGACTTGTACACATCCAGCTTTTCTAAATAGTTTCTAACCTATTCTTTGCCAATATTGGCTACTCACTTCTTTCCCCAAACTGTGCTGTCAGATGCAGTTGTCTGGGATCTGACCTTCCTGTGAAGACTAGGATAAAAAAGGCATTGAGTACTTTAGCCTTTTCCACATCGTCTACAACTAGGTTGCCTTCCTGATTCAGTAAGGGACCCACATTTTCCCTGACCTTCCTCTTGTTGGTGACACTTGTAGAAATCCTTCTTGTTACCCTTCATGACCCTTGCTAGCTGCAATTCCAGTTGTGCTTTGGCCTTCCTGACTTCATCCCTGCATGCCCGAGCAATGTTTTTATACTCCTCCCTAGTTATTTGTCCAAGTTTCCACTTCTTGTAAGCTTACTTTTTGTGTTTTAGCTCACTGAAGAGTTCCCTGCTAAGCCAAGTGGGTCTTCTGCCATACTTGCTAGTCTTCCTGCACATTGGGATGGTTTGTTTCCTGCACTCTTAGTAAAGCTTCTTTAAAATACAACCCAGCTCTCCTGGACTCCTTTCCCTCTCAGACTGGCCTCCTAAGGGATCCTGCCTATTGGCTCCCTGAGCAAGTTGGAGTCTGCTTTTCTGAAGTTCAGGGTCCTTACTCTGCTGCTCTCCATCCTTCCTTTCCTCAGGATCCTGAACTCCATTTCATGGTTGCTGCTTCCCAAGTTGCCATCCACTTCTACATTCCCCACTGATTCTTCCCTGTTTGTGAGCACCAGGTGAAGAAGAGTATGTCCTCTAGTTGGCTGCTCCAGCACCTGCACCAGGAAGTTCTCCCAAATATTCTCCAAAAACTTCCTGGATTGCCTGGGCACTGCTGTATTGCCCTCCCAGCAGCTGTCAGGGTGATTGAAATCTCCCATGAGAAATAGGTCCTGTGATCAGGAACTTCTGCTAGGTGTTTGAAGAAAGCCTCGTCCACCTTGTCCACCTCATCCTCCTGGTCCGATAGTCTATAGCAGACACCTGCTATAACATCACCCTTGTTGCTCTCCCCTCTGACCCTAACCTAGACACTTTCAACAGCCTTCTCTCCAGGTTTATACCAGAGCCCCGAGCAATCATACAGCTCTTTTACATAAAGCACAACTCCTCCTCTTCTCCTCGCCCGTCCTTCCTGAACAGTTTGTACCTATCCATGACAGTGCTCCAGTGATCCAAGCTCCCACCAAGTCTCTGTTATTCCAGTCATGTCATAGCTCTGTGACTGTGCAAGGACTTCCAATTTTTCCCTCTTGTTTCCCAGGCTCTGTACATTTGTGTGCAGACACCTGAGGTAACTACCAGCTGGCCCTACTGTCTCAGGAAGAATGAGAAAGCCTCCCCTGTTTCCCCTCCTCCTTGTGCTTCTTCCAGGTGTCTCACTTGCCCAACTTTGGGGCTTTGCTTCTACCACTCCATCTGCTATAGCTGGGCAAGTCAACTTTTTCAATAGACCTGCCACAAATTAGCCTTGCACCCTCCCTGCTTGTCCCTTCTTTGGTCCCCTTTCCTGCCTGATCTTTAGTTCTGCCTTCTCTCTCTTGTGCTTCTGCGACTGCTGCCTATCCCATCCCCAGTCCTCTGTGTGCCATACACAGAGACCGCATGCCACAGGTTGCAACCTCTGTGCTATAGCATTAGATGTACATCAGGCCTACATCAGGCCTGCAGTCTGCAACAAAGTGGCATAGACTGTTGCATACTGCTGGAGTGGAAGCTCAGCTTTCTTCTGCTAGTCAATTTAGCATCTTGATCTGAGCTCCATTTGTTGATTATACAACCCTAAAGGGAACTTGTCACATGCTTCTCGCTGCATGGGAGGCCCATACTTCCTGTGCAGTTTACCAGTCCTGCCCCGCTTTTTATTTCTTGCTGCTGACTGGCTGTTAATGGACAGTCTCCAAGAAATTATCCAGAGGGAAGGGGAATGCTGTTAAGAAGACACAAGAACTTCTTCCACCATGGGAACTGCCAGGACATTGGTTTGAGCAAAATAAAAGCAGAATACCTATTTGAAAGGATGGTGTTTTAACACTAGCCATTGTGTAAGGGTAGTGATAGGGTCAGGGCATCCAGTGTCACATCCTAGATTGAAACTAAGGTGTCCATGCATTTTTTGTTGTAAAAAGTATGAAATGCAGCCAGTTACACTTAGTGGGAGACCTGATAGGCTCCACATAAACCAAGCATTAGATATGCTGGCTGGCTCTTATTTCCCTCATGAGAGTCCTCTCTCTAAGGAACACAGTTTCTGAAGAGTAACTTCATGGGAACTAAACAAAAATGTGCATTTGAGCCATGCCCACAGGAAAACTGCTTTCCCACTGACTTACTCTACCAAGCAGCCCCTTTCCACAGAGAAATCAGTTTGGCAAAATTATCCAGCCTAGTAGAAGCATACATGTGATCTTCCCCTGCACAAAGAAGCAGGTTATTGAAAATGGCAGGGCTGGATGCAGATAGATTTGCTGTTTAATTAAGGCTGTGGTTCTGGGGTTTTCTTTGTTAGCTGTAGGTGCCACGATATAAATAGTTCTTTCAAATTGTCTTTGCAGACAGATTCAGAATATGTGGTGATTTTTCTGGTGCGGGGCATGTCTGTAATCTGGAAGCAAGTGAAGGCCATAATTGCCAGATAATCCTCAATGAATTGTAAGGAAATGCTTGCGAGATAGGTTGGAGTTAGGCAGATTTTGGTGTGAGCATAAGCCTTAACTTGATACTGAAAGAGAATAGAAATCACCAGAATTATCTGACAAGGGGGAGATGTGGTCAGTGCAGCTCATGAAGGTCTTGGCTAAGACATTTTGAAAATACTTGGAACAGCTGACAGAAAGTAGATGGTTGCAACAGCCAAGCCAAGCACTGACCCTGGTCTGTAGAGCCAAGCATCAGCTGTTGAGGTAGATTTTCATAGGAATAGTGATTTTGCAAGGTCACTTCCAGCCCTAATGTCTATGAAATCTATTAAATGAAAAGCCTGGATGTAGAAAGACCCGAAGACAAGAAGGTCCTATCAAATAAATGCACCTAGCCCTTCTGAAAGAGAAATATAATAAATATGAAAAGCATGAAGGAGTATCAAGTGATTTGTCTTCAAGGTCACCTGTCTTGTTTACCGGATATGGTAGCAATGCATGGATGCTGACAGCTGCATGTCTCCTTGTTACATAGAGTATTCCATTCCTGTCCACAAATACTGTTTCCCATTCCTCTTCATCCTGGGAATGGGCCTGTGGTCCTTAGTGGAGTATGTCATCCATCGCTTTGTCTTCCACATGAATCCACCTGCTAGCAACTATTATCTCATCACACTGCATTTCTTGTTGCATGGCCAGCATCATAAGGTGAGTAGGATATATCTTTGCCTATAGATGTGTGGAATTCCCTGTCTGAATCTGATTCACCTTGATTTTTTAAAAACTAAATTTCTCAGTGTTGACTTGCTAAGACTGGAGAAGTGGGAATATGGGTGTCTCAATATTAATAATCCAAAGAAAGTTGAGGCGCTTCATTCCCTGAATTGTAGTAGGTGCCTGGGATGTTATCACTTCTTGTAATGGGGAATTGCAGACACTTCAGCCCAATTCTTGAAAAGTAATCAAAAGATATGACTTAACCAGAGCTGTTGCTGTAAGTTGAATATACAGCTCCATAAACATAGGTGTAACTTCTCAGCTGCTGTACATTGGTATTGCTTCACTGAGCTTAAAGGAGCTATGCTAATTTGCATCATTTAGGGATATGTCCTAATGGTTATAACCTTGATAAGTTAAAGTAGCATTTTTAACAATCACCAGAGTTGCTTTCTCATCTTTTTAGCTCTGTTATGCCTGGAAGCTTTGGCAGAGCTTGTTGTAGAGTGAATGAATGTTGACCCTGAATTCTTTAAGATTTGCTGGGAGCTCATACTGCCTATGTCCTTCTCTGCTTCCAGTCACCATTTGACAGATCCCGCCTGGTCTTCCCTCCTCTGCCAGCATCACTGGTAGTTGGGTTTCTCTACTGTTGCCTCCTTTTGATCCTGCCTTGGGCAGTGGGGCTCTCCTTGTTTGCTGGGGGGCTGTTTGGTTACGTCGCCTATGATATGACTCATTACTACCTGCACTACGGATCACCAAAGAAAGGCAGCTACCTGTATGGACTGAAGACCTATCATGTGAAGCACCACTTTGAACATCAGAAATTAGGTATGCTACACTTCTTTTAATTGTCACCATGGGGTAGCTGCTTGTGTCTGAATAAATGCCTTCTGGTAGATGCTTGTAGGCATAGCAGACAGGGGAGCAGTGTGCTTTGCAGCCTAGTGTTCAGCTCAGCATCATCCATACCTCTGTGTGTATGTGGTACACACACCATACCTATATCCTAAACACAGCCATCCAGAAGTTCACAGCTGTATGTGAAAACTTCATGGGTACTGTAAAACTTAATTGCCATATTCAATCCAAAGTGCTTAAGCTACATACGGGCCTGGGTGCCTAAAGGAATCTCCCATGTAACTAAATGACCTAGCTCCAGCATTCAGAAAATTAATTGATACAAATGTGAAAGTCTGTCTGACTTGAAGTATCAGGCTGGTGACTGCAAGGCCTGTGTACCACAACCCAATTTTAGGCACTCAATTATTAAAATATAGGTCTTAAATTCTATTTCTGCCAGCAGGTCTTATTTGATCTTGTTAGTCTGTTCTTCTGTTGTTTTGCTCCACATACTCCAGAGGTATTTCCATGATATTTCATACTTCATTTAAAAAAAAGTAACATCTTGTAGAATTTCAGTGCCTATGGCAGGTTACTAAACTTAAATTCTGTGCATTGATTTTGGGCATTTTTACACATGCATGCACCTCAGCAGCAGGTGCTTTGAAAAGCACCTGGCGCTGCGTCCAATACATTTGTATAAATGGCAAAATGTGCCTCAGCACTGAAAAAATGGCAGTAGCACACATTTGAAGTAAAACACATCGAAGGTATTTTAGTTCAAAAGCACACCACTGCCATTTTCTGCATGCTGACATGCATTTTGCCATTTATACAAATACACCTGATGCAGCTCTGGGCGTGTCAGCTCCTGTGCTCCGCAGACTAGATTAATCGAATCTGCTCTGATGCGCTGGATTTCCAGCGTGTCAGAGCAGACAAAAGTATGTGTATAAATGCCCATATTCTCAATTAAGTACTGTATAAATGCATGCTTAAAATTGTTGGAGCAAGTTTGAAGTTCTCACGTATGTGAGAAAACTTATTATTGTATTTACTCAATTACAAGACTAGGTCCCCCCACAATTAACATGAGGGAAAAGCCCCTTGTCTTATAATCACATGCAAAGAAATCTCACTGAAAAAATTATCTATTGTTAAACTGCTGCCAAAAGCAGCATATGCTCAGCAATGGAAACCAAATATGAAATTGATTAAATACAGCCAACACTGAGCATGACTATATAAGAGATGGCTCATTCAGTAAACATGCTGATAGAAACCTTTTTATACCCTTTAAAAAAAACAAAAAACAGGTGGATGTTCCCTTCACAGGGAACTAGCACTGGATGTAGTAGTATTGCAAAACCAGGCCAGCACTGGGAGGGCCAGTGCCACCCCTGATACCCTCTCCTTGGTGGATCTTAGGCTTGATCTTAGCCAAAAGTAAAGAGCCAAGGGGCTACCTGACCCTCAACTCTGGAACTTTGGTTGCTACCTTTGGTTGTGACCTATCACCTGGACAAGAGGGAAGAGATTGATGTGATATATCTTGAATATAAAAAAGCCTTTGATCTGGTATCCCATGATCACCTCTTGGCAAAACTGGCTAACTGCGGCCTTGACCACACCACGATCTGCTGGCTGGGGGAATTAGCTCCGCGGTAGGACCCAGAGGGTGGTGGTTGACGGAAGTCAATCATCGTGGTGCGCTGTGACCAGTGGGGGTCCCTCAAGGCTCTGTCCTAGGGCCTATACTTTTTAACATCTTCATCAATGATGTAGACATTGGTGTCAGAAGCAGGCTGGCCAAGTTTGCCAATGACACCAAACTTTGGGGTAAAGCATCCACACCTGAGGACAGGAGGGTGATTGAGGCAGATCTTGACAGGCTCATGAAATGGACGGATGAGAACCTGATGATGTTCAACACTGAAAAATGCAAGGTTCTCCACCTTGGAAAGAAAAACCTGCAGCATGCTTATAGGCTCGGCAATGCTACGCTGGTTAGCACTACAGATGAAAGGGACTTGGGGGTCATAATTGACCACAAGATGAACATGAGCCTTTAATATGATGCTGTGGCTAGTAAAGCGAGCAAAACACTGGTTTGCATCCATAGATGCTTCTCAAGCAAATCCTGGGACGTCATTTTCCCCTTGTACTCGACCTTGGTTTGGCCGTAGCTGGAGTACTGCATCCAGTTTTGGGCTCCACAATTCAAAAAGGATGTGGAGAAGCCTGAGAGAGTGCAGAAAAGAGCCATGCGCATGATCAGAGGTCAGGAAAACAGGCCTTATGGTGAGAGGCTGAGAGCCATGGTACTCTTCAGCCTAGAAAAGAGCAGGCTCAGGGGCGATCTGGTGGCCACCTATATGTTTATCAGGGGTGTTCACCAGGATCTGGGGGAACATCTGTTCACCAGAGTACCCCAAGGGATAAGAAGATCGAATGGTCACAAACTCCACCACGACTGATTCAGGCTGGACATAAGGAAGAACTTCTTTACTGTCTGAGCCCCCAAGGTCTGGAATAGCCTGCCGCCGGAGGTGGTTCAAGCACCCACTTTGAATGCCTTCAAGGCACACTTGGATGTTTATCTTGCTGGGATCCTATGATCCCTGCTGACTTCATGCCCCTGGGGCAGGGGGCTGAACTTGATGTTCCTTCGGGGTCCCTTCCAGCCTGAATGTCTATGAAATACCTTTCAAGGATTGCTAGTGTTACCCATAACTAGGGGTCTACTTAACTTGCAGGGAGACAAAGTAATTTTTGCAGCTTGGTTGTGGCACAAATTTCTGACTTCATGGGCATTTCCTGGCAGCCCCACCCCTTGCCGCTGATTGGCAGAGAGGCATCTCCAAATTTCATGGAAAGTAAATTGTATTGTATAGCTTATCATATTATTATAAATCTAAATATTACATTTAAATCTAAATTTAAACATTTTATAAATGTATATATAATATACATTGTAACATATGTCATCATAATTTATTATTATATGTAGAGTTCTACAAAATTTTAGAAATACAAATTAATGCTAACCTTAATAGAAACAATTTCATTTCACTGACTGGCTCCTTCAGTTAGTCTATGTCACTAGCAGAGAGTTCCTAACTAGTAGTTTCTGACTAGCCCTTACATCTTGGCAACTCCTTTTTAATTATGCAGTAAGGATGCAGTAACTGAGCTGCCTTCAAGATTTAGTTGCAGAGTTAAAGTTCATGTATGGATTGACTACTAGCTGGAGATGTCATCTTATTTCCATTTGATACTGAGGCACAAAGGGAATATTTAACTTTCCTAAGTTATATTGTCACTAAAGTAAATAAACCTTAAGCAGCAGATATGAAGCTATGCAGAAAAGCTTCTTCCACCCAGGCTTGGAGAACTGAATGGTGTTTCCAGGCAAACAGGTGGATGTCTACGAGATGGCACAGGCCTGCCCCTTTAGCAGTGCTTGGCAAGAGGTGCCAGATTCCATGGGAGACTCTATAGGAGCAGAGCAGCTGCAGGGAGTTGGATTTTCATTGGTGAGCTGGAGGTGGTGTTCAGCTAAAGGAGCTCTCAGCCCTAAAAGACAGATAAATTGGCCTGGGGATTATGCCAGGCCAATTACTTGGGCTCAGGAAAGCAACTGGAGAAGCTGCTGATACAGCCCCAGGAGTTTGCTTTGTGACTGAAGAGAGCAGCAGGACTAAGGTGGAGAGCTTCTGGGTGGAAGTGGGGCATCCCAACCAACTCAGCAGTGATGAGAGGGATAGTTCAAGCAATAGGAATCGGAGCATGGCCCTCAAGGAAGTCACAGCACGCTGAACACCAATCACTACAGTGGAGATTTGGCTTTTACCCTATAAGGACAGAGGTCAAGCAGGAGCTTTTTGGAGTAATTGGGTAACAAGTTAGATTTTGACACATGGTGCTGCTTCAGGGGAATGTGTGTATTTTCCCTTTGGGTCTCCTCCTGGTTTTGACTTGACAAGCTGCAGGCTAGCCCAGCTTAAAGAGCTGCTGTGGTGCTGAGCAGTGCCCATGACTGAGCTACTTCTCTCTTCCCCAGAGGTGTTGATCAAGATCAAGAGAGTTTTGTCTTGGCCAGAACCTGGGATCCCTTTACCCAGACATGGTAGGCTCAACACGACATGTTCCTCTGAGCCTGTTGCTTACTTCACCCTTTCCCAGTTTCTTAGGAGAAAAGGGCTATGCCTAGATAGCCACTGTCATCAGTGCAGATGAACAGAAGTTCCTCGATGGGTAACTTACACTGACCTGTGAAGGTGGAAGGCCCTGTACTGAAGTGAGAATTTGAGTGCATAGTGAGGTTGCAGTATGCCCAGCCTAGGACCATGGACCAATCAATTTGATGCAACTCAGGCTTCCGATTCCTACCTGTAGTTTCCTTCTCTTGGGATGTCATGAGGATTCATTAGAGATTGTCAAATATCTGACACTGTAATGACAAGGGCATACAAGTGCTTGGGAAGGTGGCTGCAGAAGTTCTCAGTCAAATTCCCACTCATATGGTTCTCTGTCTTTCCCACAGGCTTTGGCATCACAACCAAGTTTTGGGATCGTCCATTTCGAACACTAATCCCAGAGGAAACCTTTGAGAAAGAAGATTAACCACCCTGCTCTATGTTTGGCATCTGGTTCCCACAGCTCTAGTGCACTGGTCTTCCTTCTTTCCTTCCTTCCTTTCATCCTTCTTGCAGTCTGAATGGCTATCCAGACTACAGAGGGAGCTGTCAGCACTGCAGAGCTGTATGAGAGGGATTTGAAGCCTATTTGCTTATGAAGAGTGTATGCATGTGGGCAGGGGAGTGGGTCCTGTCCAATGTTGGCTTTTGTGGGCTTGCTTACGCTACCTCATGTCAGGCCCATGGCAGTAGTACAGCTTGCTGGCTAAGAGGTGCTGTATTTACTCAGAGGAATCTGCAAAGCAGTCTCAGACAGGTGCCTGAAAGGCAACCATGCCATTTGCTTTGAAGTCACCTGGTTTTTGCAGGGACCAACACAAGAAAGGAAGCACCTGGAGGGGCTGCTTTGCAAATGCGGTGGGTTACTTTGGTCTGAGCACTTCAGCAAGTATACGAGGGGAGAGCAGTGCATGTACTGGTGGTATGAGAAAAACAACACAGCCGGGGGCTGCATCTGCAATTCCCAGGAAGCTACCGTGTGTGCAGTGGAGGAGAGAGCCCATTTACCACACAGAGCTGCGGTGTATGGAAACTTCAAATCTGATCCTGCAGAGCCCTGTCTTCTGAGCTGATGTCCTGCTACATAGTGCTGATCAGGTAGAGGTGGAGCTGTGTGTGCTGGGACCTATAGTCTCTCTGGACCAGACTTTTCTATCCAAGGTGGGGAAAGAAGGACAGGGGCACTTTGGGGAAACTTGGCAGGTAACCAGATGTAGCCTATTGGTTGTTCAGGAGCCTTTGCCTGTCCAGAAAGTCCTTGAAGTAGTTGGAAAAGTATGGACACTATCTCTTCAAAATCCCATAATTAGTCCTGCTTCTGGGGCTTTTATTAAAAATACGGGAAAACACACTGAAAAATGGGGACTTGTCACATCACCCTTATGATGCTATGTTCTGCAGTGAATCACCCAGCTAGGGATTTGAAGCTGTGTATGAATGTAGTGGCAATGGTACTGCAGTTACATGCTGCCCTTGGCCCCCAGTGCCTTAGACATGCAGAGAGAACCTCCTTCCCTACCAAAGAGCCCATGCTGCTGATACAGATTTCTTGTTTTTAGTGACTCTTGTGCAGATCCCCATCTCTCCCAGACTAGTCTGTTGGGCTGGTTCTTGCCTCTCATCATGTCCAAGATCATATATAAACCATGGCACTGATAAAAACCATCACTCTGCCAGTCCTTACAGGGTGCTGCCTGCTCTGTGCATGATAGCCCATCCAAGCATCCTATGCCACCCCAGATCCTGCAGGCTGCCCCTGGTCATGACTTAGTTGCATCTAGTGTGTTTCTGCAACAGGTACAGAATGGGCATAGGGGCTAGTGCAGCTGACCTGGTGTTGGATCTCCTCCAGCACAGCAGGATGTTGGAAGTGGAGGTGTGCTGAATCTGGAGCCGCATCACTCCCCTGTACCCAGACCCCAGTGCACAGAGGGACACAGGAGCTTGGGTTGCTGCTTCTTTCTGTCCTTCCTGGCTTGGGGCTGTGCCCCTCACTTCTTTTGCTTTATAAGAAAAAAAAAATGCTTCAAACTCCTGAGAACTCGATAGTCCCTTTGCAGCAACGGTTCCTGCCATTGGAGAACTGGGCCAGGGCTTCCTGACGCAGCATATTCCAAGCCCCGCAGAGCAGAACGTTTTGGCAGTTATAATGGCATGCAAGTCAGGGGTTCTTGCCAGTGCATCTCTCACGGTTAGAGACCCCACCTCTTCACATCCCTGAAAGGCCCAGCTGTGCTGACAAAATCCTGTAGCACAAACCCTGCTTCTTCCTGTGCAAGGCAGTGGTCCCTAAATGCTGCATGCGGTGGGTGGTGTCTACTGCAACACTAGGTGGGCTGGGGGAGAGGAGAAGGACTCTGGCATCTGCTATGGCCCAAACTCCTTCTTTCTGTCAACATGCTTTGCTCAAGGAAGAAGTAAATGATGTCTGATCTCATTCCCACCGTGCCAGATGCCGGCTGCTTATCCTTGGGTGCAACCAGAACAAAGGAATTTGGTGTTCACACTAACCAGGATGGTGCTACAGTGAATGGAGCCCAGGAGTCTGCTGGGAGCAGAATCCATTTAGTGGAGTTTACCAGTTGTATCAGCTTTTGGGGTTGTCCTCTGGGCTTCAGAATGACTATGCCCTTTTTCTGGCGGCTTCTTGAGGCTGACAAATTCCAGGGCCTGGTTCATTCCCAGGCCCTAATGCAAGAGGGCCTGGTATACAGAGCAAGAAGATACAGCACTGGAATGAGCTATCGGGGATGGGAATACCATGGCCTTCTGCCTCCATTTTCCCTGCACTTGAGCTTGGTTCCTGGTGCCAAATGCTGAACTCAAAAGCAGAGGGAACACGGCTGGGAGTTAAGATTCCCCAAGGGCCAGTCAGTCTGGTGGAACAGCTCTGGACTCACCAGTCCCCTTGCGCAAGAGGTAAATTATGCTGCTGCTTTGTAATTTCTCTCTTTCCCTGGCCTCTTCTTTGCTATCTGAGTGGCTGCTTTGTCAGCTCTTTTCCTGAAGGTGGGTGGAGTAAACAGAAGGTGATCCTAGGGATGAGCTATCTGGCCTAAAGCAGGGGATGGTGACTGCAGCTTTGCTAGCTAGACAAGGATGTCTTGGAACAGGTTCTACATACCTGGACTTGTCTTTAGCATGCTGCTCTGCATGAATCCCTTGCTGCCTAATGAAGAATCACCTGGCTTCATCCTTCTTCTGTGGCCCTGGTGTTTCAGTCACAAAGATGCCCTGTGCTTTCTTTGCAAATGCTCCAGTGACCATATAATGCTGCTGGCCACATGTCAACTGGACTACCTGTGGGTGGGGTCTAGCAGCTGTTTTGGGGCCTGCTGTTTAGTAGCTGGTGTCTGATACTGCTGCTTCCCAATGCAGTAGGGAAGTCCTGGGAACTCTTGGCTTTGCTCACTATGAGCCATGCTGCCCACAGGTGCCCTGCTGAGCTCCTCCTCTTCCTTTCTTCATATCATGCCACTGATAAATGGGCTTGGCAGCACAGCAGCCACCCAGTAGATGAAGTGCCAGATGTCCCCTGCCGTCAGCCGTTCCTCCTCTTTCCATTCCTGTGGTCCCCCTTGGGTGACTGTGGTGCTGCTGGAGGCCTACTTCCTCACCTGCTATTCCCTGCAACACTAGACATCCCTCTGCCATTCCCCTTCCTCTTATGCCTCAGTGCCTTCCTCCTGAACTCATCTCCATATGCTGCAATTCCTTTCCAAATTCTAGCCATCACTCCATGACACAAAATGAGCGTGTCACAGGCAGACCCAGTAACAACTCGTGTGCAGCTATTCCATGTATATGTATATGGGATGTACATGTTTATGTACATGTACAACATGTATATGTACATATTTATGTACATCTCCTTTATGGGCCGGCTGCACTTGAGCTGTTGCTGGGCCTGTCTGTGGTGCGCTCATTTTATGTCATGGAGTCATGTGTATATACCAGTCAGATGCAGTCCTAAGGCGTTCTATGGACTTCAGTGGGAAGACTCTGGGCCATTATTTTCAAAGATTGCCACATGATGCTTTTCCTCATGTTAAAATCCCTACCTAAAATGTGGAAGATGCTACTAATGCAGTTGCCATAAAACCTTCAAATGATTAAGCCCAGAACAATAGACAGGAGGTGTGCCTTTTTTATGCCCTCACCCCCTTATTGTGAAACTGGCCATAGCAGCCTCTGCTGTACTTGGCACTCCTTTCCCTTTCCCCAAGCCATGATTCATATTGCACTTCTGCAATTAAGTAAGATTTTATCTCCAGTCATTTTAAAAACCAAACCCTCCTCACCCTACACTGCTTCCAATGTGGGTGTGTCTGAGGCACCCAACTGAGTTGGGGAGGAAAGAGGAGGAATCGGGTCTTTCAGGCTTCTGTCTAGCCTTTTTCTAACCCAGTGTACACTATTGCTTTGCCAGATTTACTGTGTTAATTGTAGGCAATAGCCACTTGAAACCTAAACTTCAATGACCATAATTGCTAAGAAATGCCTTTTTCTTGATCCTGTGACCTCCCTCCGCCCCCTGATGTTTACTTCAGATATTTAAAAGTTTGGAATAAAGTTTATATGTAAAGATGTAAACATGACAATTTATAAATATATTAAACTATTTCTCAGATGTGTAGAAAAGGGGGTGTTTGCATGTGCATGTACTACATGGGTCCTCTGCCCTCACAGAGCACTTGGTTTAGCTCAAGAATCACTCCATCTCCATCTCTGCTCCTTTCCCAAAGATTATTTGGAGCACTGAGCCCTGTGGTCACTGACTGCAGCCCAAGAAGCTGGCTCATGTGTGCTAGCTTCAGTGCAGTGGGGTTGGAGGGGGAGCATGGAAAGGGGATTATTGTTTGGCCTTGGGATTAAACTCTGATAAGTGTGGTGCAATGTTGTAATGTCCAGTAGTGGCAACTGATGCTTATTCCTGGGGTGGCCACAGCAGGGTTGCTAGTTAATAATTCTCAAAGGGGTGACTCAAACCAAACAAACTTGGTGTTACTGTGAGTTGGGCAGCAGCCCTTTGCCCATGGCCCCTCTGCAGTTGCTGATCCACCAGCTGCCTCAGATCTGTCATACAGAAAACCTTCTCCCCTTTCAGTGGGGTGGGCACCCAGCCAGGTGCACTGTGTGCCGTGCTGGGGACTTGCCCAGAGCCATGCAGCTAATTGTTCAACCGGAAGGAGGCTCTCTTGGCCTGTGATGCTAGTGCTGTGCAGATAGGACTACCTCTGGAGAGCCCCTGTGGGCAGAGAACTGTACAGAAGTAAAGAGCTGTCCAGTTCACAAGCTGGATGAAGCCCATGCTGTGGGATGGGGGTTTAACTTGTGGCCCGAAAGCTGTGTCTTGGCTGTCATTGTTCCCCTCTGCCACACCTGCTGCTGCCAGGGCCTCTGGGCTCCCCTCAATCTTCTAGCTTCTGTTTCCTGCCCCAGCCTCTGGGGACAGTGCAGTGGGGCCTGCAGGAGCCTGAGGAGCTTGTGCAGGAGGGCAGGCCATATACTGAGAGATCCTACACAGTGTGTGGCCCATGCGGCCCCTGGGCTCTCAAAAGCTGTGCCATCTTCTAGACCATCTGAAGGTTCAGATGGATGTGGAAGTCTCCGGGTGGGGTTCTTCAAGCTGTATTTATGCAAGAGTTCAGACTCCACCTCCTGCTTTTAATGTGTAAAACTGGGCAGAATGTCAGAGCAGCAACACTGCTGAAGAGGGAAACCCCAAGCTATTCTCTGTTTAAGGGGTGTGGAAATGTCTTGAAATC